TGCACAGAAAACTGTCATCAGTTGGCACAACAATGCATGTAGTTGCACAGATTATAGCTTTAAGTTTGGCAATCTTCACACATGTTCATTTTAAATTGGCACACCATCTTTTTTAAGTTGCACAGTTTTACTAATCTTGTTGCACAGATGTGTTGCATCAGTTGGTAGGAACTTTTTTTTAGGTGCCATGTGTGTTGCACAGTTTTTGTGTCTTTGTTCAGTTGCATATATGTATAGTTGAATTTGTCTACTCCAGTATCTTGTTGTAGTTGCACAGGTTGTAATGTGTGGTTTCATTCAACACACAAATCTATTTTGATAACCTTGTTATTTTCTGTTTCACTTTTTTTTACATCAGCTTAAAGAGGAGTATAGAGGCACGGAGCAGACACCACTGTTTGGTGGAATTTTGCAAGCTGAAGCATTTGTGGCATCCAAGTTACCAATAACATACAATCCGCAGGTTAGTGTTTTGCATACAGAAACTTGTATCACTTACTAATATTTTTTCTATTGGCTGGGATGTATGTTCAGTTGGACATGTATAACTTTTGTAGTTGCGAAAATACAGAATTTAGTTGGCTGTGATGTATGTTCAGTTGCACATATAAGCTTTTGTAGTTGCACATGTTCTTTTGGATAGTCAAAGTGTTCATTTACAACCATTGTCATCAACTTTTGGCAGAAATTCATGGTTTTTACTTTGTGCCACAGTGCATTTTGTAGTTGGCTAGAATCATGTTTTTAGTTGGACAGAAAGTGTGTATTAGTCGTTTTTGCTTATCACATCATGGTCAGTTACAGACATTTTTACTTTTATTATTTTTTCTAACTGAATCAGTACTGAATCTTTTTTGTGTTGATGCAGAAAAAGGCAAAATTTGCGAAAGTGGTCAATGAGCTGTGCAAGGCTGTAACTGAACAGGTTGGCACCTTCATTGAAGAAGTTGCCAAGATTGATGACGAGGAACCAGATATTGATCCTTATGTACAGCAGCCATCAATGCAAACTGGGGCATCACGCCGTGCTCCAAAAAGAAAGAGACGGCGGTCAACTATACAAGAAGAAGAAGAAGAATTTGTTGAGGATGATTCAGAAGAAGATGAGGAAATGGAAGCAGCGATAGATGCTGACGACGATGAGGAGACAGATGCGGATGAATCAGAGGAGGAGGACAAGGATGAGGATGACGATGAAGAAGATGCAGACGAGGAGGAGGATGAGGAGGAAGAGGAGGAGGAGGAGGACAAACAAGAAGAGGACAAAGGAGAGGAGGAGGACAAGGAAGAAGATAGTGATGCAGAGGAGGAGGAAGAAGAAGGTGAGGCCAGAGAGGGGGACGGGGACAAAGGGGCAGCAGTTGATGGCAGTGGGAGGGGAGAAGACAAAGGCACAACAGCTGATGGCAGTGAGAGGGAAGAAGACGAGGATGAAGAAGACGAGGATGATTATGGTGATGATAAAGGGGGATCCAATGGAGGCAGCGACAGCAGCGATGACGATGATGATGACAACGCCCCTGGTTCTGGTGGTACAGGTGGCAACACATCCAGGAGGACTAGCACTCATGCCAACCCTGCGAGCAGCAGCAATTCATTGAGTAGCAGGAGCACACTACAGATGTTGATTGACAAGACTTGTTGGAAAGACAAGGATTTTCCAAAGTCAAAGAAAAATGATGAAGCAGAGTCTCAGGGCAGCATTGATATGTTCAAGCTCTGCAACTTGAAGCCAGCTTTGCCAACCACCTTTCCCGTGCCAGATTTCAGCGACAAAGATATGTGTGAGAAGATCAACTTTGCCATTGACAAGAGCCTGTTCTTATCAACTGATGCTGAAAAGAATCAAATTGACATGGAGGAAGCAGGAAAGGGTCTTGACTGGGTTCATTCAAGGGAAAAATACAAGGAATATTTAAAGCAGCTCCCAGACCTAAGCTCCAGCAAGAGCAAGGCAGCATCCACGGCAAACCCTCACGTGGTTCAGAAGCGTAAAGCAGTTTCAATTAAGAAGAATCTGCAGTTGCCTCAAACCAAGGAGAAGATGGTGAGTGCAGATGCTGAAGTAAATATGGTCAAGGAATCTGTGCTTCAAACTGATATGCCAATAGTAGTGAGCAGAGAGCCAACCAATGTCAGAGAAGTTCAACAGATCAAGGGGAAGACTCCCCTTTCAACAGTCCCACCAAAACCACCTAAGCAGAAGATTGTCAAGTTTGCCAGGGGTGCAAAGGGGGAACAGGCCACAAAAGATTTGGGGTTCAGAGACGAGAGAGAGCTGCGAGCCGCGGCCATTGATGCAGGGGTGCCAAGTTCTGCCAGGTTGCTGCCAACTCAGACTGGAAAGATGCCAACTACAGATACCAGTGTGCCAACTGATGTGTCAGTTAGCAGCATGGTCACAGTTAAAACCACCACAGCTGGCCAGGAAGGCACCACTGCAACTGCAAGTCCCAAGGTGCCTACTGATAGAGATGCTTCAATGCCAAACACAAAAGGAGGTCATCCAACTATCAAAGTGCCGTCCCCAAGAGCTGTCTTTCAGCAACCATTAACACAAGAGGAGGTGTTCGACATTATAAGTAGGTGCAAGCCTCCAAGGCCGCCAACTACAACACTATTGCGAACCAAGTCATTGAATGATGCACCCGTGTTTGTGCCGCAAGGAGATGCCCTGGTCCTTGAACCCTTACGAAGATCAAACTCTTATCATGGTGACAGGTTCTGCGATGCACCATCTTTTGACCTCGGCATAGATGGTGATGCTCCAGCACCTACTCCAGCAGCAGAAACAACGGAAGCCGGTGTGATCAGCATCGATGAGTGTGAGTTAGACCCAGCAGCTGTGAATGAAGGATGTGATGCTGCTGATGCTGGCAAGGCAATAGCTCAAGAACTAGATGTTGGTTCACCAAAGAATTGCCACACCCCGATATGCGCAGAACCAGAACTTGGCACGAGCAGTTCTTCGGGGCCACCTCTTGCACAAAGACAGAGGAGGGTAAGAAGGCCCGCAGCATCTCAAAGGTCTCCATTCATCGACTACAACAAGAACAAGACTTTCAGCACCAATGAGGTAGTGAACAAGCTTTACGCTGCCCTCTTGTATTGGGTCAGGCATCACAAAGGAGTAGATGATGGAGCTACCAGGTAAACTAACTCCCCACATCCTACATACATATCTTTTTTAGTTGCATAGTACCAGCCACTTAGTTGCACAGAAAGCATAGTATGTTGCACAGAACAGGGCTTTTAGTTGCACACTGTTCTTTTTTCATTTTCATGCACATTTTTTTTGCTGCTGTGACCCTTCGAGCTAACTTGTCTTTTTATTTGCTTTCAAAAAAAATCAGCCCTGAGATAATCAGGTATGGTGCTTTCTACATTTCTTTAGAGGAGTTAGTTGATTCGATGAAGCCGGTTCAATGGTTGTCAAAAATTGTTATTGAGACTGGAATCTTACACATAATGGATAACTTATCGGAAGGGTCAAAGAAGGTTGTTATGCCACTGAGGTTTTCTGTAAGTTTTTCCAAAACCTTCTTTTTACCCTCATCTTTGTTCTGTAGAACTTTTTCGTTGACCATTTGAGGGAGGCCTTTCACCTACTAAGGAGTTTTCAGCCATGTTTTATAATCTCTGCAGATAAAATTACAGCAAGGGATCCACAATGTGAATGAGATGAACAAGAAGTTTGATTACAAGAACCGTCTCGACAAGAAAGACTTGGTGAGTGTTGTGTCCACATCATCAATCTTTTTTTAGTTGGCACCCACAGCATGTCCAGTTGCACATGACACATCTGTTAGTTGGCAGATACTTGCTGCAACCCGTTTTTAACTTGACCAAGTCTTTTTACTGTTTTTCTTAGCTACATCTTGTATTTGTGTCTGAAATCGTTCACGCTTGCAGGTCATGCTGCCAGTGCTCGAGTGCGCAGATGTAACCGATAAGGACGGAGGGAGGCATTATTGGGTCTTTAGTGTCAACTTGAGGGACGGACGCTTCGAAGTTCTTGATTCAAGCAGGACGCTGGACAACATTGAGCTGATGAACAACGCCTCTACCATTGCGGGGGCAGTACGCCAGCTATGGAGGAAGCATTACCCAAAGTTCAGCATCGAGCACTTCCAGATAATTGACATTGACGTACCAAAGCAGCTTGGCAAGTAAGACAATAAGCATTTCATTCCTTCTCAATCAAATACAATCATTTTGTAGTTTTTAAATTTTTCTACATGTGCAATCTTTAGTATTTTTTAGACACAGTACTAGTCTTCAATCTGTTTTATCATTTTTATGAGTTTCTAATGGATTATCTAGCTAGTTGCAGAGTGGCGCATAAGTAGTTGCACAGTGGCACATAATGAGTTGTAGTAGAACACAAGCAGTTGCACAGTAGGACATAAGTAGTTGACCCAATTATTTGGTTTTAATTTTATGTGACATTTTTTTGCCCATTTTTTGCGGTAATGAGTGTGGGTTGTTTGCACTGCTTAACGCCACCGAGTGGAATGGTAGCCAACTGCCCAACTACGACCCCAAGGAAGTACTCAACATCAGGAAGAAGCTGGCGTATGATTGGGTCACCAGCGTGCACAACACCGCCCCATGGAGGAAGTTGCTGAGATACGACAAGGAGTAGGTCAGTACTATTTTTTTTCTGCTCCACGGAGGAAGTTGCTGGTTTGTACAATTTTATTAAGTAGATTTTGTAGTTGCACACTGCTAGTAATTGCGTTTGCAACTCAATATCATCACTTTTGTTGATACATTAGGAGCACTGGATATACAATTGTTCAACAACTAAATATTTAACCAGTTGCCAACAAAGGCACAAATAGCAACTTTTTTTACACAGTGCATGAACTAATTCAAGCAGCATAAATTAGATAAAGAGGAATCATAGATGCTGAATGTGTCCACTTGGTCCCAACATTGCTAAAAAAGACATCATTATTTTCCTTTTTTGTTCCAAAGTTACAAATGAGGAAACAGAATCACAGGAGCCTCTGTGGACACACACCAGCAGTGTGCTCTGTAGATTGGCACTGGCTGCATTTATTTTTCTTCTTTGGGTGTAGCTCCAGCGCCGATTTGTACCGTCGACTCTTTGCCCTACCCTTTGTAGTAGACCTTGGAGGATCCCTGGGCACAAAATCATCAGAAGCTTGTGCAAGGGATGCAGCCTCCAACGGGGCAGTAGGACCGTCACAATCACCTGTGTAATAATCATATAAAAAGTTTAGTATTTTTGTTATTGTGCAACCAGCACTGATGTTCTGTGCAACCACACAGTACATTTTGTGCAACTAACTGGTTGCTGTGTGCAAGTTAAGTTGAAAAAAACACCTGCAATAGCACGGCCTGTCATGGTACTTGGATTGTAGTCTCCTATGGGCAGAACATGAAAAACAAGTTAGATTTTTAGCTTGATCCTCAAACTAACACAGCGCACGCAACTGGCAGCATGTTTTTGTTCAACTAGGCACTATGATATGTGCAATTAAAGTCACTCACCCTAGTTTTTGTTTTGGAGTCGGTGAAGGTACTAACCTGGGTTATGAGCCCCCTGAGTCCTGCCTGTAGGTCCATTCGGAGTAGCACAAAGGGCACTGCTAGTTGGGCCTGGCGGGGGAGGAGGTCTTTGAGGGTTGGCATCACCTATAGGCAGAATAGGACAAACAAGTCGGTTGTGTTTATCTTTTTGATGCTCGAACTAACACAGCATGCGCAACTAGGTAGCCTGTTCGGTGCAACTGAGCACCATGATGTGTGCAATTGGAGTTACAGACCTAGTTTGATGGGGAGTTGGGGGCAGGTAATTACCTAGACGACGAGCCCCCTGAGTGCTACCTGTAGGGCCATTGGGAGGAGCATGCGGGGGAGGAGGTGGCGGAGGATGCCGTGTACAGCCAGGAGGGGGAGGAGGTCCTTGAGGGTTGACATCACATATATGCATAACTGGAAAAATAAGTTAGCTGTGTTATCTTGATGCTTGAACTAACACAGTGTGCGCAACTAGGCAGTATGTTTTGTCCAAGTGGCTACCATGGTGTGTGCAACTGGGCACAATGATGTGTGCAACTGAAGTTACACACCTAGTTAGATCAGGAGTTGGGGCAGGTAATTACCTGGATGATGAGCCCCCTGATTGCTGCCTGGAGATGGAGGAGGTCCTCGAGGGTTGCCATCATCTGATGGCCCCGTTGCAGCAGTCGGTTTTTTCTTTTTCTTGGACTTGTTCAGGTGGCCGATCTCGGTACGTGCTGCACACATATGCTTGTATACAATAGCTTGTGCTGGATCAGAACCACTCGCAAACTTTGCTAGTTTCCGAAAATCGTATATCATGTTCCTCTCCCTTATCTGCTTCTTTGATTGAGGAGGCATTTCATCCGGTTGCTCATAACCAGTCCCTGGCGCACTAGGTACAGCAGTAGGTGTCCACCGTCTTAGCAGGTACCTTTCCGGTATGACATCAACGCCAACATGGGTGAACACCTTGAGGATGTGGCAACAGAGGATGCCGTCCTTGTCCATTTTACAACACTCACACAAATAGGAACCCTCCTCCACCCTTGCCTGCACCAAGTAGTTTCGAGAACCATATTTCACAACAAATTCCTGGTTCGGTCTGAGCTCAAACGCATCAGCACCAACTTGGAATGCATTATAACGTCCAATCAGCTCAAACTCTTCTCTAAACTTGCGGTAAAGGTCTCTAGTATAGGTTTTGTAAGCTTGCTTCTCTATTGGGAAGTTGGACCACAACTCAATCTCAAGGTGTTGTGTCCTGTAATCATTGCAGCCTTCCTTGGCAAGGATGTGGTTCTGTATTTTTTCATATTGCTTGACGAAGTTCAGCATTGAGTTGTGTGGGTTCACATATCTTTTGAGGACGGCGTTGAACCCCTCACTACGTTGTGTAGACTGGAGGAAGGGAAAGAACCTGTGTTTGAAGTAGCACGGCACCCAAGTTGACCTGTATTCGTACAACTTCTCAAAGTGCGTGTGTGCCATAGCCTCATACTTCATCATTAACCCAGCCCAATTCTGCTCAAACTCGTCTATAGTGAAGCTGAAGTCTACACACTTGTTGAAATCATCAGAGAGTCCTGGATTCCGGCACAGCAACCAACCAACCTTTTCCTGAGCCTTTTTCATGATGTGCCATCGACAACAACGGTGCACGGTGGTTGGAAAGATGCTCTGTATTGACTGCCTCATCGCACCATCCTGATCGGTGATGAAGTTGTCAGGAGGTTTGCCATCCATAGCCTCTAGGAATGCTCCAAAGACCCAATCAAAGCTCGATGCCAACTCCTGCCTCACAAACGCGCAACCCAGCATGAAAGATTAGCCATGTCGGTTTATTCCTATGAAGGGCGCGAATGGCATATTGTACAAGTTGGTCATGTAGGTGGTGTCAAACGATATGCAATCGTGGTACGCCTCCGCATAAGCTTTTCGAGCTAAGCCGTCCACCCAAAATATGTTCACAACTCTGTCCTCTTCATCATATTTCACCTTATAGAAGAAGTCTGGATCGGTTTTTTGTATATCCTTGAAGTGCGCAATTGTCTCAATCAGATCACCCTCCTTTGTGTCATCTCTACGGAAACTTGTACAAAGATTTGTTATTGCCTTTGGTCCGAACGGCACCATCATCTCAGATCCATAGAACTCTGCCATTACATGCATCATTCGCCCTGTATAATACAAAAACAAACAGTATATCCTTTTTTTAGTTGCACAAATGCGCACATCCAGCTGCACAGTAATAGGACACATGTTGGCACAGAAGATAATCACAGGAAATGGACACCTAGCTGCACCTTTTTAAAAACACTATGCAGTTTTTGCATACAGGACATTGTGTATTTGCACAGTAAAGACAATCTAGTTGCACAAGAAGCACCAAAAGTGAAATATAAAAAGCATGGGAAGTTGGACAGCAGTTGCATAGTTAAGCCATTTCAGTTGCACAGTAGTACCATAACAGTTGCACACTGGACTGCCTAGAGGGAAACTTAATTCTTCAAGGGATATAGAAAAACACCACACCTGTAGTCAAGTTGCAGTTATACAAGATGCGCAGAAACTCCTTTTCATCAGGTCAGATGCCTTGGTGGGATCTCAAGTATTTGGACAATGAAGGTTTGTTCACGAGCGGATGATTGTGGTCACGAACAAAGTGCGTCACCTCCCATCGCCCATCTATCAGCTTCACCAACATTTTCGCCTTGCATTCAGTCTGCTTTATTGTCTCGCGTTTGCGCTTCTTCTTCTTCTTCTTACTAGTACCAGCCTCCTCTTCAGCAAATATTGGAGGTTCTTCTTCCATCTCCTCATCACTGTTAACAGATGTTGGATCTGGAATAGGGTCCAGGTAAGGAGGAGCCTCAGCTCCTCCATCATCAGCTTTGGGCTTCTTGAACTTGTTGCAGCAAAACTGTTGTTTTATCAATTCATTGGTGCGGTGTGTCCGTCTAGAGGTGTTCATCTTGATAGAGAAACCCATCCGTAGTGCGTAACTGTTGTAGTGATCCTTAGCAATTTGAAGGCTGTCAAACCTCATGCCAACATAGGGTTCCATAGGTTGAGAACCAGCCTCATCCTCTCCTTCTTCTACTTGCACAGCTCCGTCAACAGCCCGAGCTCCTAGCTCAGTCCTGGTTGGACCAGGAACATTTGCCTCGGTTCCTGTGTCATCAAGAGTATGGCTCTCTGACTGCAAAGACACCACTACAGGGGCACCAGGGGCTGATGACTGGCCTGCCACATTGTCATGGCTCGTAGGGTTACCATCACGACTTGCTTGCGTGTAGTAAACAGATCGACCATTTTCTGTCCAGTTTCCTTGTTGTATGCTGGGTTGCTGCTGATCCATATCATGAGGAAGCTCATTGAGATCTGGAGGCAACTCATTGAGATCAAGCATTTTTTCCCTTTGTTTTTGGATGCTGCCACACACTCCCTGCACATATAAAAAAAGAAGAAATTGATGTCATCAGTTGGTAACCACAGAAAAACTGTGTTTCAAACAACCTAAAAGCAACATGACCATAGCATAATCTTTTATTATAACAGTTATGAATTTTTTTGTTTGCACAGAGTTGTTATGTTAGTTGCACAGTTTGCAGTAAATAACTAGCAAGAGCATGACTTCTTTTTGCTACAGAGTTTTTCTTACATTTTCCCTTTTTTGTTTTGTTGCAATGATCTGTAGGTTTCCGTTTCGCAAGGAGCTCTTTTCAGATTTTTCTGCACATAATTGGATGCTACATTTGGGAAGGAAAATCCAGGTGAAAGAAGAAAGAAGAATTGGAGGACAGATTATAGTTAATATGGTTCTAGATCTGGTATATTTGAAGATATTAATATGGTTTGCAATAGGTGTGGGACCAGAATATATGCGTGGGACAAGATTACGTGTGTGAATATGTTAATATGGTTTGTGGCTTCATTAGCCATGGACAAAAGTTCCTATGTTTTTCCTGTTGCACTATAGATTTCTGGTTTTCTCTAGAATAGATGTCTCAATTTCCAGGATTTCCACTTGGCCAGCATACATATTCAGTTGGACATTCAATGCTTTTAGTTGGCTAGAATAGATGTCTCAGCTGGCCAGGTTGCATTTTTTTCAGTTTGTGGCCAACATGCAGGTTCAGTTGGACAGTTAATGCATTCAGTTGGCTAGAATAGATGTCTTAGTTGCCTAGAATATATGTCTTAGTTGGTCATCAGTTTTTGGCCAACGTGCATGTTTAGTTGGCCAGAAAACATGTTTTTTATTTCCACATATACTACATTTTTTCCAAAGTGTTCACTCAGAAACATGTATTGCCAAATATATGTTTAGTTGGCAGGATACATGTTTAGTTGGCCAGGATACATGTTCAGTTGGCTGGGATGCATTTTCAGTTGCACATTTATGAATTTTTCGTTGCACATGTTCAACAAAGCATTGGGCAGTCAAATTTTTGTTCATTTTGCAAACAATAACTAGAAGTTGGCTTTAATCATGTTTTAATTGGCCAGAGAACTCGTTTTTAGTTGGCTTGTTTTAACACATCCAGGTGGTAGTTTTTGGCATGTTTAACACATCCAGCATGTTTAACATCTGGTGTGATGTGCCAGATTCACCTCTTTTTTAAAGCAGATTCTCCATGGATCCATGAAGAAGGGGGAAGTGAAGTGGAGAGGGGGCTTACCTGCTCGATCTTACTGCCTGGTATGGCTCTGACCACCCTGCCCTTTAGATCTTGAAGCAGCTCCTTCTACTTTGGGGCTCCCATGGCGGCTATGTAGGAGGAGGAAGAAGGGCTGGGGGCGATTGCGTTTGGATCTGTTTCTGGCGTGCAGAAGAAGAAGAAGAAGGCAGCGTCGGTGGGGCTGAGGCATGGGGGCGAGCGATGGCGTGGATTCTGCAACCTGGGCAGATCCTCCTTCTTTCGTGAGGAAGAAGAAGATAGCCAGGGCGCAGTTTGGCGAGGAGGGTGCACATGATCCCGTGGGGCATGGTTTGGCGAGGAGGGTGCACGTGATCCCGCGGCCAGCTGGCGGGCGGGGCAGTTGCCTTTTTCGCTCCGACGGGCGGGGACCAGGTGGACCACGTGGGCGAGCGGGGGACTGTTTCCTCTTTCGCTCGAGGGGGGACCAGGTGGTTTCCTTTTTCGGGTGGCCGCTGGCTAGCGATCCCAGGGCGGCCGGCCGCCCACTAGACGCGTCCAAAAAAAAATCCTATCCTTCTTGACCGCCGTAAAATTTCGCTAGCCCTAGCCCTCCTCCGCCTCCCCCTCACCCCTTGCTCCCAACCGCGCCGCCTCCGCCTCTGCCGCAGCGGCATATCCAGCCTTCTGCGGCGACCTCCGAGTGCCTCATACGCTCTAGATCCGTCGACCTGAACCAATTGTAAGCAGTTTCAGACTCGAGTCCTCTAGTATTTTGTCAAAGTGTTGCTAAGTCGACTGGGCTTTTAGTCGTGCCTGCTTGCATTGATTTCTTGCCTCGATGTAGCTGTCCTATTTGTTTGCCGTCCCTACTGGCATCTTGCTTTCACCTGATTTTGCTTTTTCTAAATCTTCTTATACTTTGTATATCACGATGTTTGCCATGTTTTCATGCTGATTGGGGAGGGGGGGGGGGGATTAAATCTTTACAAAGTTTTGTAGAAAACTACGCATAGCGAAGTGTGCTGCATCCGTAGCCTGGGGGTTGCTAATCTTGTAGTGTTACCAGATTCTGTAGTTCAAGTCGAAATATATAACCCTTATGAATAGAATTAAGTTGTTTCTGAAAAAAATTCAAAATTCCATGGGTAGACAGCAAAACTGATAACTGGTTTTATGGCTGGGGCTCTTGATGAATTAAATCTCATATGCCTGTCTTCTTTTCTTTTTTTGTTAATGTACAGATTCGTGTGAGGCACTGCAGAATATAAACTAAAAAGTGGTTACCATGGCTGAGGTGAATATATTGTCATTTTCTCTCTCATTTTTCTTTGTATGTTTTGGTTTCTGTCAATTCTCTTACCGTGAAAGCTAATGTCTAGCAACCCTTTTTATGTAATAGGATGCTATTGCGCTGAATGGACTAAATGGTGACCATCATAGGCAGTTTCATAGGTCCGTGATACCGATTCTTATGTATGAAAGGGAAGGTAAAAATCCAAATAATCCAATTGCTGTTATTTCGGGCATAGTCACGGTCTCTGGTGGAGGGTTTTGCCACATAATAGCATACAAGGGGTTACTTTTCCCCAATGAGGCACACAAGTACAGATATGAAATTGTTTTTCCCAATGATATGAGGGTAGACCTTGAACACCTCGGCATGGAAAGACATGGCTTTTTGGCTGGTTTCTACTGTCGTGTTCCTGCTGGAACTGTAGATGCTGTCCACTTTGGTATTCAAACTACGAGGAACCAAAAACTTAAGATGTATGGATATCAGGTCGATGATGTATCAGGGCGATTACAAAATGATCTAACTGACGGCCGTGTGACGTAAGTTTTTTGCACAATGTAATTGAATTGTCAATGTTTTGTTTTTGTTTCTATTCTAATATGTCTGTAAACAGTCATGTAGAGAAACAAGATCAAAAATTGGGACATGATTGTACACCTTCCATTTTTTCTCGAAGTGGATCACCTGTTTTCAATCAGCAAAGGCAACTTGTTGGTATATCTTATAAGGATATTGGTGTAACTAAGGCCTTGGATGTTGGGTATATAACTGCTACCCTTCCAAAATTTTGTGGAGGGGATAACATGGTAATGTGTTTTCTGGTATCAATATAATGTAATCTTATGATGTTTGCAATGCTTATTCTTTTTTGTTTATGTTTTGTTTAGCCTATGTCAGATGTCTTAGAACGTATTAGACTTCTTGGTGAACAAAAATTTGCTCCACCTGAGGATATGGAGCCTTCTCCTTCACCCTGAGAATCGTATGACTTGATGGTAGGCATACCACTCTCATTCCAGCATGCATAATCTCTGACGATTGCCTTATTTTGACATTGCGATGCATAATCATCATCTTGCAGGGCCGTTGTGTGAACATGAAGGAAGGCAGCCAGAGCATTGTTGTTGGTTTCTTGTGTAGCTTTAGCTTCTCCTTGACTGTTTCTAGTAGTCTACCCGTTTAAACATTGTATGTAGCATTTGGTTGGTGTTGTTTCGCTACAAGCTCCTTCACTATGTAACTATGTGTGCTGCTGTGGTCCAATCTTTGTAGTAGCAGGGCATTTGTGATCCAATCTGATATAACAGCGTCACATTTTGTTACTTGGTTGATTGTGAAGTGAGATTATCCAGTCAAGTTGAGCTGTGATCCAGTTTCTCCCTCTCCTGGTTAATTTATACTTCTGTTGTTGTTTCCTTTCCCACTTATGTGGATGTCTGAATTCTCTGTCATTCTACATACCTGGTTAGCTATAGGCTTTCCATTCTACATACCCCAGTGTAAGATTGTGCTGGTGATGCTTAGGTTTTATTGTCTTAATAAAGAAAGAAAAAGACTGAAAATAGACTTGAGACATGAGACACACATGTAACACTGCTCATATGTCCATCATATAATTTAGCTAGGCATGTTGAGCTGACTTGGGCAACCAGTGGTTTGGCTGTGAGCTGGTGTGACCGAATGCATAGTTCTGTCACATGTAATATCATTTTCATAGATGCTGAAGAAGTGCCGAGAATTCTTTGAGTTGCGGTTCAGATGATTTTGTTGCCAAAATGGATGTTACTCAAAACATGTTATCCACCCTGAATACAGAGCTATCTTCAGGGCATTCTCATTGAAAACGAAAACGATATCACAATAGTAGTTTTCAAATATGAAAACCGAGTTAAAATTCCAAAAATATGCTAACAGCAAATAACAGAGCATACTGGCATTAAAGAGCTTCTCCAAGTGGCATCAAACCTCGCGCAGAGAAACAGAGCCCACGCTAATCGACTGGGTGTTGCGTGAAGTTAGAAAGGTGGAAGAAAATTTTCAGGCTTGCAGTATTCTGTATTCCCCCAAAGTTAAATAGTTTGTACGAACAAGTGCTGAAAATCCATGAGCGCGGTTCAAATACTTTTATTGCTGAAATGGACGATACTCAAAAATGTTATCGAGTGGAAGTTGAAACAAGTTGAGGCGTTGATCACCGGATCCGTAACGAAAATTCCAAAAGTAAAATATTTCTGGTTCCATTCATGTGATAAGAAACACAGCGGTCACACATATAAAAGCAGCAAGCAAATAGAGTAGGTTGGACCTTGCGCGTGTTCTCAACACGAGCAAGGTAGACAGACGGCCATCATGCAGCTGACAAAGCACCCAACCAAATGAACAAGAGTTGCACCAATGTTTCTTAAGACAACTGCTGACCACTGTACCTTAAAATCACAACCACAACTGCAAGCAAACTTAGTAGTAGCAAAAAATACGACGGTCTCCCGCAAACCATCTCTTAACGGCTCCAGTTCAGCCTTAGTACAGGTCCATCACATCAAGAGGCGTACGTTCGTAAGCTAGTATTTCAGGCTTCAGATTAGTTAAGTTACAAACGCTTCATACTTGCTAGACAGGATCAGCTTGTGCTTCAACTGGATCAGCAGCTTGAGGACAAAGATAGGCGCACATGCATCGAGATACACTTCATCAGGTTAGAATTGTTGCCGCTGCCGCAGATATTTAAGTTCTTCTTCCACATCTATTCCTTCCTCAAGCTCGTGCCACTCCGGATAGCACCAAAATGGCTTGGGCACGGGCCATCTGTCCAGAGTAAAACATAAATAAGCTATAATATATATAGCAGTGTTATTGAATGTGTAGTAAATAAACAATACCTGTTTGGGCTATCATCATCGTCTCTAGCAAGAGTCCTACAAACAGGCCGAAAATAGTTTTACATACAAGAAGAAACACACGTGTGTGAGGACAAGATCAAAACCACACAACATCAGTTCACCACTTCATATATCTGAACAATAATAGGCGGAATGGTTCAACCGCAAAAGCAAGTTGGGATTTAAGAACTAGCATGAGTTCCAAATTAAAACTAACCTGAAACTAACAACCAAAACCAACCCATATTTACCATTATAATTCCAGGTTAGAGTGATGCTATGAGACATACGATACGATACTTCCATAATCACAAATGTACGCACAACCAGACATGCTCAACTGTCGGCCACAACCACAGGATGGTCTTTATTGTACCAGTGTCGTATGCTATTTATCATATGCACAGCAGTTCTATTCAAGCTTCTAATTAATGTGCTCAGTATAAGAAGATCAAAATGGTAACAAATGTCCTTTTGAGGCTACTAAACTTCCTCAAGATTGAATATTATGCACACGCAAGACACCTGCATACTGTACAAAAAATTACATAAAGATAGAAAGCATACCCTTGTGCATCAAAATTCTTCAAGACTTTTATAATTATATTCACTGGTATGTATGGAGCCTCTTCCAAGCCATAGAAGTTCATGCCAATAAAATTTCCATCAAAATCAATAAGAGGCCCTCCAATCCCAGCCTAGCACACACAAAAGTAACGAATAGGAAAAGACAGTATTTGTAAGCTATACAGATGTGGTGATGGATTTAATTACTCATTCTGATGCAACTATTTATTTCCACCACACGAAAAGACACAGCGTAACTTGGTGATTTTACAGGTGGAAATCTTAAGCTCTTTGCAACCAAGCTTACTTGGTTTGTCAATCACGATCCCACTTGTGGCCATTAAATTGCCTGATTGGTAGACGCGCCCTATAGCTACTACCTCCTTCTGAGGTTTAATTAGCATCTGGTTATCGATTTGTGTTGTCTGAGTACAGCAGAAATTCTTGATGTGGACTACGGCAATGTTATAATGTAGACTGTAATGTTGCAATGTCCCTCTGGTATGACGATTGTCTGGAAGGCACACTACAATCTGCAATTAATGATATGGTAAGACTAAACCAGTGATATCATGAATAAGTAGAAGGGGCAATTAAACAATTATTAGCAGAGTAACAACCTTAAGGTTATCAGCAACCTTGTTTTCATTGTCAGAAGTTCTAACCAAACTTGCCGAGGTCAGAACTCTTGTAGTGGACCCATTGCAGTCTATGAATATGCCTGTGCAAGCAAAACACCTTGTTTTTCCTACAAGAGTAATGATTCTGATAATTTAGTGAAGAAAATGGAAAAAGAATATTGAAAGTAAACGAGCTTATAATGAATATAATTACCACTGAATGAAGCCAATGCGACAACACTTTGAGACATATTTGAAGCAACGTTTCTTTCGAGTTTACCCCAGATATCTTCACTAAATTTCTCTTCAAAATTGTTAAGCAAACGCATGCCCACTGGCAAAACCAATAAAGATTCAGTAGTGGAGGGGAGCTGGATAGACCAGTCAGATGACAAATGTTCCAACAGAAAAGAGTAAATATCAAAAGGACATGAATGAACTCACCATTCTCCCAAACTGGGAGGGGATAACCATTGGACCTCAGCTCTTTTTTTGTAGCAACACCTGAATTTTGCAACATAGTTAAGTGATTGATGACCCCATGTATAATGATGGTCAGGAAAACTGCAAGCAATGACTCACCAAAATAAGGATAACTTGGCCGCCCAGACCATAAAGATTTCCGCTCTAATAATAATCTATCCATGAGTCCTGGTGCCACAGGGGTGAAACAATTAATGACTGTGAACAATGATCAATAATTATTATAACATTAGAAGTGACCCAACCTGGTTGACATTCTGGATCACAGAGAGTACATATGGAAGGTTTCTTATCCTTAAATTTCTCTCCCTTCCTTGAGCTGTCTACAATGGAGAAGGTTGAAGAAGGGAAATAAGCAGAATTTAGAACACTGAAAAGCAGTATGAAGGAAAGGAGTATATTCTAATATTCATATACTACACTGGAGTACTTAGAATGAACTAATTAATTAGCATATCATATGCTGTATGTTATTAGCATGATAATAGGTGCAACCATAAAACTAAGTATGTACCCAGATTCTACAAATGATTGTTGAAAATTAACATTGGTGGTGACTCTGGCGAGGAATTGCCTGGTGATGTGATGATTGCGCACAATTTAGCAATCTTAAGGTGTTTTTCTCACCTTCTGAATCAGGCTTATAAGGTCTGGGAAATCTTTCAATTTTACTACCAGGTCCTTCCTTATTTGTAGCCCTGCAGCAGAATGCAATAAACTCATCGGAATAATAGAGAAATCCACAAAAAATAAAACATGGATGATATCTATGCATGGATACCAAACAACAATACAAATTTCAATGTTTATAAGGGACAAATCAGGAAAATTGTTGACTGGGGTCAGATTGCGCTAAACAAAACAATGGGGAAATCCTAAAACCTAAATATTTATTGCGTTTGATTTTGTATAGACAAAAATATTTATTAAATATGAGTAGCCTAATATAGTGGAAAACTTTTCCCATGCATGTTGTGGTGAGCGACAACAAAAAACAATAAAATGGAGATAATATTATACCAAACCTACCAGGGAACCGTCACTACCTTATCATTTAAACAAGTATTAATAGCTTAAACATGGACACCAGAGTCCCAATTGAGTACAGGGCAACTGCGAGACATCATGACAATTGTAGTATGGACTGTCACAAACAACTAATTTGTTATCAAGGGAGATGTTGTCAAATGCAGATCACCTACCAGATGCAAGAATTACAAAAACATCAAAACAACGCATTTCAGAAACTGTTTGACATTCAGTGTGATTGGTAGTACCACCAAACCTCGGCTATTGATGAGCGGAATTATTCTTATGTACTTAGTTTATTCATTTTGTATGTCTACTGATGTGTGGTCAGCTTCCTGGAAATTCCAGGTTGAATAATAAACTTGCAAGAAGCGGAACAGATGGCCTGTGGTCATCCAG